TGTGAGTGTGTCACTGTGTGTACGTGTGCGTGTGCATGTTTATGTGTCACCGTGTGTGCGTGTGAGTGTGCGTGTGAGTGTGTCACTGTGTGTACGTGTGCGTGTGCATGTGAGTGCGTGTGCGTGCGTGTTTGTGTGTGCGTGTGTGTGTGCGTTCAAGTGTGTCACTGCGTGTGCGTGTGCCTGTGCGTGTGAGTGTGCGTGTGAGTGTGTCACTGTGTGTACGTGTGCGTGTGCATGTGAGTGTGTGTGCGTGCGTGTTTGTGTGTGCGTGTGTGTGTGCGTTCAAGTGTGTCACTGCGTGTGCGTGTGCCTGTGCGTGTGAGTGTGCGTGTGAGTGTGTCACTGTGTGTACGTGTGCGTGTGCATGTGAGTGTGTGTGCGTGCGTGTTTGTGTGTGCGTGTGTGTGTGCGTTCAAGTGTGTCACTGCGTGTGCGTGTGCCTGTGCGTGTGAGTGTGCGTGCGTGCGTGCGTGTTTGTGTGTGCGTGTGTGTGTGCGTTCAAGTGTGTCACTGCGTGTGCGTGTGCCTGTGCGTGTGAGTGTGCGTGCGTGCGTGCATGCGTGTTTGTGTGTCCTTGTGTGTGCGTGTGTGCGCGTGTGCATGTGAGTATGTCACTGTGTGTGCGTGTGAGTGTGTCACTGTGTGTACGTGTGCATGTGCATGTGAGTGCGTGTGCGTGTGCGTGCGTGTTTGTGTGTGTGTGTGTGCGTGTGCGTGTGCATCCGAGTGTGTCACTGCGTGTGTGTATGTGTGCGTGCGTGCCTGTGTGTGCGTGCGTGCGTGCGTGTGCGCGCGTGCGTGTTTGTGTGTCCTTGTGTGTGTGTGTGCGTATGCATGTGCGTGTGTGTGTGAGTGTGTCACTGTGTGTGCGAGTGCGTGTGCATGTGAGTGTGTCACTGCGTGTGCGTGCGTGCGTGTTTGTGTGTGCGTGTGTGTGCGTGTGCGTGTGAGTGTGTCACTGTGTGTGCGGGTGTGTGTGTGCGTGTGCGTGTGCGTGCGCCTGTGTAATCTTGGACTTTGTTTTTGTTTCACGAGACCTGGGGTAATTTTATTCAACTAATGCAAAGCAAACAAATAAGAATAGCTTAAAATATTTTATATTTGCAGTGCATATATGTATCTTACATAATGTCATAATTATAGCTACAGAAAGGCTATCTGTATACTCGTAAGGCATATTAGAAGAAATTTCATGAAAAAAACTTATTAAAACTTCCAAACCAAGTGACGGATAATTCGTATCGTTATGCAGTAATCCTATGGACGCCAGTGACGCGATCGTGTTGTTTTCACCGGCGTTCTGCTGGTGGTCACGTGACTACTGATCTGTGACGTAGCTCCGCCCGCACCTATATGCAGTGGCGCTTATTTCCTCCACGCAAACTATTAAGACATCCATCTCACACAGTGATCTTGCGACACGTACACGCATGATTGCGCAACAGGATGCTCTGCTGATTGCCGAGTGTGTGTGTGTGCATGAGAGAGAGAGAGAGCAGGGTTCTGCCCAGGATTTTTTAGTGCCGGGCGCATTCAGTTGTTGTCGCAAGATGCAAGCGCCGTAGGCGCGAAGCCAATCTAGGGGGGGTCCGGGGGCATGCCCCCCCTGAAAATTTTTGATTTTTGATAGTCTGAAACTCAATTTCCTGCATTCTGAGCAATAAAAAGCCCATATATCAGACTTTTTTTTATATTTTTTTTTTTATATCAAAAATTAGTGCCGGGTGGAGATATATAGTGCCGGGCGGCAACCGCGAGTGCCGGGCACACCCGCCCACTGCCGCCCACCGTGGGCAGAACCCTGAGAGAGGGAATGTGTATGTGTGTGTGTGTATGCGTGAGAGAGAGAGAGAGAGAGCTAGAGGTGTGTGTGTGTGAGAGAGAGAGAGAGCTAGAGGCGTGTGTGTGTGTGTGAAAGAAAGAGAGAGAGCGAGAGAGGACGGATGAAAGGATAGACGGCAGCAGTGCATATATTGTAAGTCCTGTTGAATGTTGTTGTGGGGCGAGTAAATAATACAGTGAGTAGAGTATTAAATGGACTCCTGAAATAGTAGAGAGAGGGGAGCTATGCCAACGCTTCACGTGCAGGATAGAAACTGGCCTATGCTCATAATGCTGTGAGCAGCCGTGTAGTAGCCGTGCAGTAGAGAGCCTGCCGGTTATTTAGCCCTTTGTCTGGCTACGCCTATATCTGTATAGCCTTTGTTTGTACACCGGGTTGACATTTATTATAGGACGTAACATAAGGCCAGCAGAGCGGGGTGGGGTGCCCCGTTGTCCTGTTTGTGGTGTGGCAATGTTGACTAACCACGCTATCGCACCGGAGCCGGAACGAACGCTGAGTTGGCCGTGACCAGAGGAGAGAGCGCAGTAGCACTAGAGGCGCTCGTGAGGGAGTGGAGATCGGGTGGCGACGGTACGACGTACAAGGTAGGAGTATCTATCTTGTATCTCTCGTTGTCACTATCCACCGTGTTGCACTGCACTATACGTAAGGTGAACTGTTAGTTACTGCGTATTGTCAGGTGGCGCCCTCAGGTGTCGCGGAAAGACACGAAAACGCTACATAAGATTAAGAATATCGGGCCATTTTATCGCCAATGCCTGGAGTCTTGAACACATTCCAAGATCGCTGAACACGTTTATCTGCGCAGTTTAGATTGTTAATAACGATACACTGTGACAATAACTGTATTTATATGATGCCGACAGACCACTCTTTGCGATAGTCATAACTCTTGCATGAATTACTCAACAAACTCTGTATAAATGTTAAAATTACCTCTAATCTCTCATTCGCCTTGTTTTGATGGAGGTGCCGCCCTCTATAAAATGCAGTGTGTTAATTATGTTTTCTCATAATGTTTTATTAACGACTATTTAGCGCTCGCATTCCAAAAATTGTACAAAAAATGCTTAAATTACAGTGATATTAAAACATAGCACATAGATAGCCTACTATCTTTTCGGATTTGTATAAGATTGAAGAGATTTTTATCCCACAATTCATTCTTCCCATGGGCGCAGACATATTGTTTCGAAGGCAGCGAACACATCATCCACCGCACAGTCGCCGGTGAAACTGTTTCCTGTTGTGTTTACCCCAATTAATTAGATTTTAGGCAATTGAGTAAATATGGTGGACATCAGTGGTTCCGGAGGAGGTGGCCCTATTGCTATAAGCGTCGACAATGCGATATTTATTATCCCAGCCATTATTATCATTGCTTTAGTGTGTAAGTATTTATTATGTATACACTCACTAGTCCGCTTGTCGCCGTTAGTAACAGCCTGCTTCACAAATAATAGGTGCGGGCGGACAGCCGGGAACTTTGCCACATCCGGGACTTTCTTAAACCTAGCAACCAGCTGTGCCGGTGAAAACAACAGCATGTCTCCGTGAGCTTACACACGCAATACGGCTGCGACTAGGGACAGCGCGTCTCCCATGGTACCGAATTCTCTCCCTAGAGGGCCTTATTATTATTATTATTAT